AGTGAGTGTTGGTACCTCAACATCAAACCTCAAAAAGAGGTATCAGGAGCATCCAGACCACCCAAGTAGCTATCAGGTGAGTCCCATCATCATATGGAAATAAAACATGCACTGCATACCAAGATAGGGGGGACTCATTGCAAGTTAGGGACTCAAATGCATAGGAACACCAACAAGTACATGCCAACATTAACAAACAGGGGACTATGAAGTGATGTCCTCAGTATTATGCAACTCAAATGGTCCAACAAACAAAATACCAGCCAATAGAAACACCATCTAACAGGCATCAATACACACAACACACAACCAACACCACACACGATACAAACACGCATTAATTCTCTCCAACAAAGAGGCATCATATCCCACCAACATCCAGCCATAAATTCACACCAACAACCAGGCAACACTTCACTCACCACAAAACCAACACCATGCACCAACAGAATTAACAATTACCACCACACAACAAACATATACCAACAACACAATCAACTTGATAACAGAAAAAATATAAAACAGAGGAAAGCAAAAAAATTAGGGTTTATAGAGTATACGCTGCTCAATCAGTTAGGAGGAGGGTTGAACTGAGGGTAGTAGATCTGCAGGTATGCCTCAATCACCTCTTCCCTCGTCATCCCTTCAAGTGGACCATATCTGATCCGCTTAGCACCAGTGGATGGCCCTTCACCTTCATCATGGGACTCAGGTGGCTTATCCACCTCAGACACCTCCACATCTACTGGGTTAGACTCACTAGTAGCAGATCCAGCAGCCGAGACCTCGGCCTCAAGAAATTCAGCCGCCACCTCATGTACCACCACAGCAATAGGAACCACCTCAAGTGGTGGTTCATCAACAGCTGTAGCCACAGGGACAACCTCTGCAGCCTTTTCCTCCTCATCGCTCACTCAACCAATTTAGCACTAAGGATCCTCCTCCTAGCAATAAACGAAGCACGACGAACGGGTTTCATATTACTCGTTCCTCGTTGTGGGTTGTACGTGACACGACCAGATTGCCGCTTAGTTCCAGATGTTTCAAGGGTCTCATGGCAAAGAAGATCCAGATATTTGTCCTTCAAAGTAGACATAGTGGGACTCAAGAAAAAGAAGAAGAGATTCGAAGAATGAAGAAGGGAGAAAAAAGAGATCGAGATGAGAGAGACACAGATCAGGATCTAGAGAGAGAGAGAGAGAGAGCGAGAGAGAGGGGATCCAAATCGTCGAACAGTGAGGAGTGAGAGAAAGATGAACTAAGGTTTTGGGGGGGGGGTATTTATTCTGGAGAATTCTCCAGAATAAATGTACTCAACCATATTCATCTAATGAATTGAATGTAGGAGCATTCTTGAGTTGGTTGGGATGATGATGAATTTAAAGAGTTGGGGGATTTTTTTGGTGGGAACGATTAACCTAATTAATCAGTTAGGAAGTGTACTTAGATTAGGTTAGTGGTTTAATAAGATTGGTTTAAAAAAAAGTAAGGGTAAAATTGTAATTTTACCACTAAAAATTTACTAAAAAAGGAAAGAAATGGGAAAGTTGCAACTAATGTGGACCAGCCCAAAATGGAAAAAGTTGCAACTAATGTGGATCGGAGGTAGTATTAATATACATTTTCTAGTGTTTTTGTTGGGATGATATTATTTTGTAGGAACTTGCAGATATACGACAATTTTCAAGTTTATTAAACCTCTACGAAGATATTAGAGCTCAGATCATATTTCATGACCATATATTTGAAGTTCAAGGTGAAGCTAATAAAATTTAGTTAGGCAATTAAGAATTCGATCATTAAAACAGTCACAAGTTTTTAAAAGCTAAAGTATTGACCAACCGATTAATTAAGCAAATGAAGGGTTAAATAGCTCAAGTCCAAGAAAGAAGCCCAAATTATATCTGAAGTTCGCAAATTTTTACCTGGACCCATGCCCAGCTATTATTGGCTGGTCCCGCGGCAAAACGACGTCGTTTTGATGTGGAGAGCCCAGCTGTATTTTGCTTCTTCCTTTAAATAACGTTGTTCTTCCTAACTCATAAACTCAATTTGTTTCGCAATTTTTGTTCCCATAATTGAGTATGCAAATCATTTAATATCTTTCCATTTAACTCAAAATTTCTTTCTCTTCTTGATCTTACCATATTTTTTTACTTGTTCAAATTCAATTTTTGATTATTTTGAATAAATCAAGATTTTCGATTCTTTTGGTTATGAATAACAATGGACTTTGCCGCTATTTTTCATCTAGAATTCTTCCTTCCTTAATGGATGAATGTAAGTTTATTTTAGTGCTTTTGTTTGATTTTTGATTGAATAATTTGGTGCTTTTTTTTTATTGAATGTTTTTTTTTTGCTTTATAATTCAATGGAGTTTATAATGTTTTTAATGGATGATCATGAGTACCTTAATTGATGCATGATTATGATATTTAATTTTGTTAATTGATTATTTCATAGATTGAATAGTTGCTTATTGTTTAATTTTTATTTATTGTATAATTTAAACTTTGATTTTACATGCTATAGATTTTTGGATTTATAATAATATTATAATGTTTTTAATTGAACATTTCACATTTGATTATGAACAATATTATAATAATTAATCGTTTTTTCTTTTTTTTTTTTTGTGATTTTCATATTTTTCTAATATAAATGAACATTTATGTTTTTGATATGATGAACATTTTTTATCAGACACGTTATAAGTTTATTATAATTGAACATTATGTGACTATAGTATGTACAATTTCTATTTTCAGTAAGTAAAGATCCAATAATTGTTCGTGAGTCAGACAAATATGAATTAATGCTAAAGACTTTTAATTGTGATGTAGAGGCTTACGATTTATACAATGAGTATGCATGCAAGGATTCAAATTGACATGACCTTTGATTTGGTTCAAGAAACAATTGAGTACATGATAGGAGAAATTGATTTTACCAACCTTGATGATGATATTTCAAGTGAAGATGATTCCAACATAAAAAATAAAAAAAAATCCAAGATCAAAAAGGAAAAAGGGAGGTAGGAATGAGAGGTCAAAGAGTATTGTGGAGAAAGAGTGTAATAAAGCTAAGGGTTGGAAGAAGATAATAGAGCAACATACAGATCTGAAATGGTTAGGCTTAATGTTCAAACATATGCTCAAAAATTATTGAACATATATGGTTTAACATATGAACAATTTATGAATTCATATGATTGATCAATTTTTTTTTTGAACAATTTTTTAGATTTTACAAGACTTTGATAATAATTGTGCTCCTTTGATTTATTCAAATTCTAGCATTGAAAGATAAGGATTAGATGTTTTAAACAAGGCTATTACTCAATCAAGTGAAGGATACAAATTTCATAAGGATAAGGTAAGTATATGAACATTTTAAATTTCTGTTGTGAACATTTCATTTTACTGTTATGAACATTTCATATTTTTTTATATAAAAGTTGGTGATGGAATTGCTATTCAATCAAAAGATGCAACTCGAGATAAGAATAGTAAAATAAATGTAATTAAACATCATAAATTTACTAATGGACATATAAAGTATATATTTTGACATTTTTTTTTTAATTCTTGAAGCATTTTAAGGCTAGAGGTGGTAAAGATGCATATTTCAATGAAATTCAATCAAAGTTTGATCAATGAAGAATAATACGAGTACTTTATTTAGTAATTAGTTTGTAGTAATTTTGCTATGTGTTATGATCTTCCTGTTATTTCTTATTGAACATATTATGATATTTATTTGATTTTTTTTAAGGAAATCTGCCAATTATTGAAACATGGTATACTCGATTTGAAGCATACTATACTTGGCTTGAAGCATTACATTATCCTTCAACCAATGACATTGGAATTTGTTTTTAACATACAATAAATTTTTATTTGTAAAGAAAATATTTGACTAAAGTATACTTGATGTTCATATTGATGTTAAGTGCAAAGTTATATATATTCAATATCATAGCTTTTTTTGTATTATTTTATTAATAGTTCGATTTATCAGTTCTATATAACCTACATTGAAACTATAAATTTATATCATAAAATACAAATGAACATACTGGTAAAAACAAGTGAACAACTAATCATATATAAATGAACATCTTCAAAAACACATGTTATTACACTAGTACATAATTAACCTCAAGTAACACCAAAAAAGTGTTACATAAAGTGGTAAAAGTATTATTTTAGATAATAGGTAACACTTTAGTGGGTGATACATCCGCCCATGTTACCTAAGGCCTTATGTAACACTTTAGACAACGTATGGTAACACTTTAAAAAGTGTTACTATAAACTCTCTTATGTAACACTTTTTTATATTATTGGTATCATTATAAAGTGTTACTTTTTATTTCTTAGGTAACACTTACTTATTTTTAGTAATTTTTTTCAATCATATAGTAACACTTTTTTCGACATTGTGTATCACTTTTGCGAACAAATGTATCACTTTGTTGATTATTAGGCAACATTTTTCAATCATCTTTCGACATTTAGTAAGACTTCATAATAATAATAATAATAATAATAATAATTAATAATAATAATAATAATAATAATAATAATAATAATAATATGTATATGTATATAAAGGGGAGTTTTTTCCCGAGTTTTTGAAGAGCCACATAGGATTTAATTTTCTTAGCGTGCCATGTAAGATTATAAATTTTGGTTGTAGCCAAAAATAAGAGATTATTAATTTTTTTAGATTTAAATAATTCAAATGCCACATAGGCAAAATTGGCAAATGAAATTTTTAAATTTAAATTAATTAATTAATATATATTATCTTTTAATATTAGGAATTTTGTCTAAATATATAACAAATTTCAACACATTAATACAAAAAAAAAAATATTTTTAAAAAATCAAACAAACCGTGCATCGCACGGGCTTCATCTAGTAATAATAATAACAATAACAATAACAATAGAAGAATAAAAAGAATAACAATAACAATAACAATAATAACGATAATAACAAATTGATTTAACATTGAAAATAAATTTATTAAATGAATATATTTTACATCAGTATAAATACAAATACACAAGTGTACTCTTTTTCACAGTAGAAAGACTAGGAATCCTAAAGACAAGGGGCTATTATGCCCCATCTCATCGCAACTACTAGTTAATCCGTTAGCATGATCACCTCTCTAAAAAACAGAGGCACATGGAAATGACTCCAAAACGACAATCCCTTTCTCGGCGTTTCATCTCATGGAATAAAGTAGCTACACTTCGAGCACCTGAAAAAGAGCAAGAGTAGGAGCTGAGAACAACAATACATTAATCGTGCATCAAGGCCTTTTTGTTTGCTAACTAAATTTTATAGATTAAAACTAATTTCACACACTAAAATCAAATTTTGAATTTTGCTGATAACCAGATTTTGCAAAGTACAACTGATTATAGCTGATATATATTTTTTTTTTTATTTCTTCCCAAACAGAGCCAAACTCATTATTCAATAAGAATTTTCTCTCTAGTAAGCAAAAATGCATCCATGTAGCTCCCAAAGGATGGCCAAGAGTTATTGCTCCTGTAATAACATTTACATTTACTAAATCGAGGTTCAGTTATTTACGACAGTAAACATACTATGATGCAAAGGCCTGTATTGAAAATGGATATTAAATATGAGGCAGCTAGTTCAGAGAGCTAACCTCAACTATCTCTAATAGATTAGTATCATTCAACTTTAGCCTGATAAATTTCAGAGCAGTAGGAATGGAAAAAGCTATGAAAAATGCATTATAATTCTAGTCCAAGCAAACCTGACAAGCAATTACATAAGAAGGGATTAAAGATCAACACTATTCATGAAAAGCAAAATGTTATCACGTACACTATAAAGAACTAAAAAATGGGCAACACTAATAGCTTACTAAAAAACAACAAAGAAAAATAAATATCAGTTATAATCTCACTATAATGAACTCCATTTAACAATCAATGAATTATGAGACTTTAGCCCTAGTACAAGACAAAAACCAAACACGGAACCAAAAAAAAGGCAAGTGTTCATTAAAGTTACTCACTTTGTAAAATGCAGTGAAAAAGAGACAGCTTCTGAATATAATCCTAAGTAAACACCACAAATTGAAGTTAGTTGAATCTTGAATGGCATATTAACTAGCAATAGTTCATCAGGTGGAAATTGAAAACCAAAAGCAGATTGTATCTGTATTAACATTCCACAACAAGTTCACATAATAGCTTTTAGAATTTACTCATGGGTGTATCTTTATGTGCTTGCGGGATGTGGCTTAGGAACCTATTCCCTCAAGCGAATTGAAATATGGTTAGAAAACATTAATTTCAAAGTGGGTCATAGAATGAAAAGGTACTTCACAAAGCAATCACCTTCTGAATATCTTCTCGCATAACGGCTTTGAGATTTTCAAAGGATGTCTATTCAGAGGCGGACCTGGGCTTGTGCCTGGTGGGTCAAGTGACTCACCAGGGCCCAAAAAAAATTATAAGTTTTCTTTTTTTTTTAAAAAAAAATAAAAATAAAAATAAAAAATAAAAAATTCTAACTTCAGCCTGTTCCCCTTTCACCTTCTCCTCGCCGCAGCTGCAACCACTGTGGAGAAAGAGGGTTTTGGGTTTTGGAGAAAGAGGGTGATTTGTTGAGGGAGCTGATAGAAAAGCATCCAGATTATACATTGACTTTTGCTGGTCACTCCCTTGGGTCTGGTGTTGCAACACTTCTGACAATGGTGGCTGTGCATAACCTAGAAAAATTGGGAAATATTGACAGGAACAGCCCAGGTCCGCCACTGCAACCACATTTCGCGTTCCCCTTTCATTCTCCCTCCTCATTCACTAATGGTCATGGTGGTCGTGAGAGATAACGACTGTGTGGTTTGATTTCTAGGATTTTTTTTGGTGTTCATGGTATGAGCTTCTTTAAACTTTCCCCTTTAAATTTCAAATTTAAGGTTTCTTTGCATAATTACTAGTTCAAATCTTTGATTTTTTTTCGATTTCTAGGGTTTCGATTTGTAACTGTTGGTGGTGGTGGAGAGCAGCGATGGTGAGGTTCGATTTGTGCATATAGATATGCAAAGTAGCTAGAATTTTGTATGTGTTTGGCTTCATGTGTGTTTTTCATTTGCTAATTGCCTAATTTAATTTACGATTGGGGATTTTTGATGTAGGTTTTCTGTATTTGGTTTAATTATGTCATTTTTGTTTAAATTTGTGTTTTGTGCCAGTTTTTGCTCGGAAAGTTGAAGGGGTTTTGTTATCTACTAATGGGTAATATTGCTTGATTTAGTTGAATATTGCTTGATTTAGTTGAATATGAACCGTCCAACCAATTATGAATAGGGGTAATTCGCTGTTGGGGTTATTTGCATATGATTCATACTTGTGATTTCATTTGTTTTGTTAACTTTGTGTTTGATTAGGTTGTTGAATTTATATGCAGGGAAGACTCAGCTTATCAATCATTTTCTAATCAACAAGAGTTGGTATATTGTTAATTTGCCTGGATATGGGTGAGTCTCTTTAATTTTGGTTTTAATTTGGGCAATTTCTGTAATTCTTGAGTCTATTTCATGCTGGGAATATTGTATACTTGTATTGTGAATCAATTGTTATTCGTGTTTATTCCTGATCATATGCTTGAATCATATTGAAGTGCCAAAAAAGGATTGCTTTTACGCCTTGAGGCATTGCTTCAAAATTATTGATCATCCTGTAAAACATGTTGCGGACTGATATGTATTTAGGCTACATCCGTTGTAGTTAATTTGGTGTCCAATCGTGTTGTTTATTTTCAAGTTTAGGAAGTAAATGTCTCCTTACATGTCATTGTGAAATTTTATTTTACATATTTGATTATCGATTGTGACTCACCAGTCGGAAATTCCTGGGTCCGCCACTGTGTCTATTACTAACAAAAGATATTGTTGAATTCTAAAAATTGTAAACATTCAGTATTATAAATAATTAGATTACCCTTGACTTAAAAGAAATAAGATAAACTTACCCTTGACTAATCACGTATCACAAAAATCAGAGTTGAAAAAAATAGTAATTACTACTTACACAATCTATACATCAATTAATCTACAAGTATACTTGATTAAGGTCTGATATAGCAAAAACAAAGAGAAATAAATATAGGAAACAATGTTGCACTTAAAATACAATCTTCAATAGAGGTCTATTTGCTCACTATGTCATGTACATCAATTGCAGATTACTGAGAAAATTTACAAGGACAGAACAATTAGACTATGTACTTAAATGTTTAAGTACAATATGGGAAATAAAAAGAGAAAAGAGAGCACTTTGTTTATCAAAAGTTGTATCATCATAGACATGTAAGATGCCAAGTAGAAGATTTCAGCAATGGGTTAAGTCTGTTCAAATTAACTTCACTATAATAGCTGATACACAACATCCTTACTCCAGCAAGCAAAAATCAAATTTACGAAATTAAATCACTAGTTGCTCTTAAGGGTAGAGATCCTATTTGAATCATCATCTTCCTCCTATTTAAATCCAACCCCAAAATTCGAACCCTAATTCTAACAAATTGAATACAAACTCAAAATTCGAACCCTAATCCTAAACAATAAATAGCAGCAAGCAGCAACAAATAAAAAAACACAAGTAATTGCACAGCAAAAAAAATTCAATAAAAAAAAAAAAACAAAACAAAATCCCCAATTTCATAGAACTGTGGTTTATATGTATCGTAAAATCAAGAAAAAAACGAATTCACCAAAATTAAAACCTAAAATCATAAATTAAACAAATAAATTACCATTAATAAAATAAAATAAAATAAAAAATGAACATACAATTAGAGGAGTCGATGGTGCCAATTGGTGGTGGTGGTGCGGCATTGGCCTAAGGTAGAGATAGTGGTAGCTGCCCGGCGTCGGCTTGAGCGAGGTGGTGGAAGGCGCTCTTTATCTTTGCTACGAGGAAAGAGAAAGAAAAAGAGTGGGTTAATTGAATTGAATGAAAGAATTCCTTGAATGAATAATACTGTAATTTTTGCTATTAAAAAAAATACTGTAATTTTTTTTGAGGAAAAATGAATAATGAATAATGAATAATATTGTATAAAGTAAAGATAAAGGGTGTTTTTAATTTTATTTTTAATGTTTTTAATTCTAATACATAAAATACTTGACAAATTTTCTTTATAAAGGGTGTTTTTTTACTCTTAATATCAAAGTGTTACAATAAAGTGTTACTTAATATTAAAGTGTTACAATTAAGTATTACCTAATATCAAATTGTTACAAACAAGTGTTACTTAATGTCAAAGTGTTACAATAATGTTACTTATGAGTTAGTTAAGTTTCTAGCCATGAAAGTGATATCATGGGGTATTACCTTAGATCATTTTTGTAGTAGTGTTAGAATAGGTGATTTTGAAAATAAATATTATTAATAATAAAATGATTTTTTCATTATACAATGAATATATTTAATAAAAATTGTATTATCAAATTTATCTAACATCGCCAAGAGAATATTAAAATCCTTACATATTTTGACATGAATCTGATATACTTTTTGAAAAACAAAAACATTGTAGATTGTGAATAACAAATATTGTTTTGCAAATCAATAATTAATCACTTTCTCTATGCCTTCTTTTTGCTGCCAATTTTATCATTTTTTAATACTTGTTTCCCTTAAAAAGCATAAGTTGTGCACAATATGTTACCCTCAAACTATTTAATAAAATACGAATAAAGAACCAAAACTTGCAATAAGCTAAGATAATTAAACATAAGTATCAAAATTATTAAATGAACATTTGGGTAAAGAAAAATGAACATAAACAACACTTTCATCTTTTACTTTTATATCACAAATCCAATTCTCCTTAGGGTCAGCTATATATGTTTCCATGTGCTTCATTAGATACACATTACAATTTGTGCGATGAATATTGCTTCTCCAGCCTATCTTCACCAAATTTTCTTTGTAATTTCCCCACCACTTTTATATCGGAATGATGCATATGCTTTTACCTGTAATTTCAAATAATGTGTATTTGATTAGTAAATGTAATAATAAACACAAAAATTTATTTACGATAAGTTGTGGAAAGTCTTTGTATTTCTCTTTCTTGCTTACATTTTGTACTAGCTTTCGATTGTCTATTATATCAATTGTTCCATTGAAATGATTGATGCACAAAATATAAAAATGTTTGAAGGCTGAAGCAGGGAAGAATATCTGGTTCAAATATGATCATTAGGTGATATAAAACTGAACATTTTAATTAAAAGGAAAACAATCACATTATAATTTACATTTACTTGTTACAATTGATCAATTTTCTTCACTTTGTTGTCCTTCAATTCATTGTTCATCTGGTTATGAAAAATTTAATTCTTTTTTTCCATACCTGCTGTGAGACTGAACATTAATTATTTATAATTGAACATTATTTATTATCATTTTGATCATTTGACATATATATTTAAAACATCAAAGAAGTGTGACATATATATTTTTGAAGTCCCCTCACTTTTTAGAAATGTACTTTTAATTATTTATTAATGAACATAGTTCAAATAAAGAATGAACAAAATATAATTGATCATTGTTTTCAAATAAAAAAAAAGAAAAATATATTTCGATCATCTCATTAATTAGAAGAAAATGAACATTAACTATTTATATTTTGATAATTTCACTTTTCTTGTCTATTAAAATGAACATTAAGTAGTATGGTGAGTTTACTTTTAATGATATAATATTGGCAATTATGGCTTTCACCACCAAATCCCAGCCTCCAATATTTAGTTTGACATTTTTTTTCTTAACAACCTATACACGCATGGTGCCGCTCCACCAACTCCAAGGACAAACACATCCTCCTACATTTCCAAAACGGTGCTATTCAACACCAAAAAAGGTACTATAAGTAGCATCATATCAAGTATTTTTTATTTTGAACATCGTATCAACAAGGAATTAAAAGTAATTGAGTACATCATTCAACACCAAAACAAGGTACCATAAGAAAATGAACATTAACAATTTTTATTTTGAACATCATATCAATAAGGTACTAAAAGTAATTGAGCATCATTCAACACCAAATAACGTACTATAAGAAAATGAACATTTTATTTTGAACATCATATCAACAAGCTGGTACTAAAAGTAATTGATAATGCTTTTATTTCAAACCAAAAAGAACATAATCAACTATGAGAATGAACATCAAAATAAAAAGAATATCATCAACTATGAGAATGAACATCAAAACAAAAAGAATATCATCAACTATGAGCATGAACATCTCAAACAAAAAATAACATTATCAACTATGAGAATGAACATTAAACCAAAAAGAGCATCGTCAACTATGCGAATGAACATCAAACAAAAAAGAACATTATCAACTATGAGAGTGAACATCAATATTTTCTATGATTTTTTCTTAAACTAAATTGAACATTCTTTAATATCAAAATGACATTATATAACTCACTTGGTTGTTTTATTGACCTGTGAATTTGTTTTTTTTTTTTTTTGTTTTTTTTTTTCTCTCTATAAAAAAAAAATAGTTAAGGTTTCAATATTTTTAAACCAAACATAAAATCAGCTAAGAAATAACTTACGACCTTTGAATCTCGTCATTTTTTGTCTTTGATTGAAGCATTAATTGAAGACGAAATTCGTGCTCCTCTGCACAAAATGTACAAAAATGTAAATAAACCAACCAAAATTTAAAATGTACAAAAATCTAAATAAATCAACTAAAATTGAACTAGTTGTTTCAGGGATTTTTTGGATAATCTGAAGGGGGGGGGGTATGGATTCCCTCGGAAGACAGATTTGGAACACTACACTCATACGGCTGAACACCTGCAAAACAACAGAACTCCGGTTTACCGGAGATCCGCCTCCGACGATCAAGTTAGTGACCGGAAAATAAAATTTTAAAGAGAGAAAGTAGAGAGAAGTGAGAACATATTTTGGGCAGAGTGCCTTTAGGAATTGTGTGTTCTGTCTTTCCATCATGAAATGATGAGGTATTTATAGGGAAGTGGGAGATCATGTTCCTAGGGTTTCATAACTTAGGAAGATTGGCTACCCTATACGTGGTTGACACGTGTATTAGGGTTTTCTTCATGATAGGCATGTTTCCTTAATGGGCTTTGAGCCCTTCATTTTCTGATATCTCTCTTTAGGCAATGAGCTGAGAAGGATGCCACGTGTCGGCTTATTATTAGGCCTCTTATTGTCCTCTCATTTGTCCATAAAAGGGGGTAAAAATACCCCGAAACACTAGTAGTTAGTGAAATTGATAATTAGAGAGAGAAAAGGGTTAATTAACAAAATCTAGAGTGCAATTGCACATAATTTTACGTATTAAAGTGAATTTCGTTGCTCAAATTTGCAAAAAATTGAAAATAACCTTGATTTTTTTACGTTGATTTCTAGAAACCGCGTTAGCACCACCTGTAATACCCCGTATTTTCATATGTATTTTCTAATAAATTAATTGAGAATTATTTTATAAAAAGGTTATTTTAGTAAATTGATTATTTGGAGCCAAAATAATATTTGAATTTTGGCGCCAAATATAAGTGTTTAATCATTTGAATAATTAATTATTTTTGAATTTCTAAATTAATAATATAGGTTTAATTATCTTTGTTTAAGGTCGATCCATATTTTATTATACTAACTATTTCAAGAGAAATATCTAATATACATTATGTATTTAACTAATTCTATATTATCTAAAATATTTATTTATTCAATTATTATTATTTTCGTTTTTATATTTAAAAAAAAGATAATAATCGTGAAACGTGATTTGATCATGTTTTGAAGAGTGATTGTTATCACTTTAGTTTGTTAATTATTATATTTTAAATTTTCCTCTAATTCTCTTCTTCATTATCTCATTTTGTTCCTATCTTTCTTCTCCAAACCATATGTATATCCATTTAAATTTTCTTATCTTTTAACCCAACTATTAATCTAGACTTAATTTGAACTTATCACATTTTCTAGTAATCATATCACACCTTAAGCTCTATCCTTTCTACACCCTCAACACTATAAATAGACCCTCGATTTTTCCCACTTATTCACATCAATTCTCTATTTTTCTTCTCCTCTTTTTACACAAATTATCCCATTTATCTTTGAAGCCAGTTTTTGGGCACTTCTTGTCAGTTTTGGGGTATTGACGTTTCACAAAAGATTGTTCCTCTCAAAATATTCTTGAGGTTAGGATCAAGAATAACCTAATTCGGAGTTATATCAAAGGAGTTATAGCCTCTGCAAGTTCTGCCTTTATTTTCCAACGCGAATCCGATTCCTCTCTTTTCCTTGGGTGTGTTCAATCAAGGTTCTTGAGGTTCTTTTTGTGTGGTTTTTCTTTCAAGGATCAAGGTATTTTTAGGTGGCTAGATACCTTTGAAAATAATTGGTTTGAGTAGCATGTTTTACATGATTTGATTGGTGATTGAATTAAATTGATTTTGAAATAAATTTTGTTTGAAGGTATTTATTTTAATAAAAGTATTTGAATGATTGATTTTTAAATCATGTTTTGAATGGTTTGAATTATTTATCGTGTTTAAATAATATTGAGAACTATGGGATATTAAAAGGATTTATTGAACCATTGAACTATTATTATTAATGCTTTATAAGCATGTTAGTAATCTCACTATGCGGATTTGGTTTATTGATAAGGCCTTGGACTTTGTATGACCGGGTCTTTACTCAAGAATAGCCTTGTAATATAAGGAGACTAGCTTGGGGGTGTGTACACTTGGGTGAGGAATTGGATTAAAAGGATTTGGTTCTTAATAAAGGAATTGGTTTTATCAACTATTATTTTGAATATTGAATCATTGGAAACGGTTTTGGAATAATTAGTTTTGAATTTATTAGATTAATTATTGGAATTGGTTTTAAAAGAATGTTTGCAAATAAATTGAGTTTACACTATCTTGCACTTATCGTATTTAGCATATATTGCTAATCCGTATTTCTTATTTGTTTTGGTTCGCCCTATTTATCGTAATGGTAAGAAGTGTTGACTATTTTCAGGTGGAGTCATGAATGAGCATATGGGAGTCCAGGGATTTGCTTCACCTAGTTTAGGAATTTTGGTCTTGTCTTTATTTTTGAGCACTCATAACAACGTTACTATTTTTATAAGTATTAATAAATGAAAATTGAGTTTCCGCTGCAAGTTTCGTAGTTGAGTTAAGTATTTTGAGTAGCCTTGCGTAATCACGCGGCGGTAATACGCCCAAGTTTATCTCTACGGTATAATTATATGTATTATACTAGTATTTCCTTAGAGGGAGATTTGGGGGTGTTACACCACCAATTTCTTCTCTAATATCCATGATTTCGCATGAAATTTGTGATTACTAAGCTTTCTGATAATGTTTATGGATGTTTCTGAGGAACTAGAGAGATAAAGTTGCGGTTAGAGAGAGAAAATTATATGGAAGCTTCCTAAAATGAAATTGGTTTTTTTTTTTCTTTTAAAACAAATATTTATACTTGATTTGACAGGACGTCTCTCTGCTGACGTCATACCATGGGCATCCCTCATGTTTAAACAATGAAACACATCGTTTTGTAGAGGGTTCATAAATAAGTAGCTGGGTCTTGAGTCCAGCTGTTAACGGGCATGATATTTGCCGGGCCGAAGGAGACCATGGGTTCTGCTGGGCGTCCTTTCTCCTTAGGCCTGCTGCTATGGGTTGTTTGCTTATTTGTTTTGTTTTAAGTCGGTCTTTTTCGATTTGGGTTAATTATACCCAATTCACGAAGTAGTTTCCCTAGTCCTAGACCTCCTATAGTGAAGTGAAAATAAGGTTTGATTTTATCTAAGACTCCTTTTCCTTCCCCAATAGTTATTATGTGCATCATGGTGTACCCACCACGAGTCCATGACTATATTTTTGAACATTTTGTAAAAAAAATTGTATACTTTACAAAAAATGAACATTTAGTAGATAAATATGAACATGTCACAGAAACTGAATATAAACTTGTAATTTTATATGTTCATTTTTTATAATGAAATGATCATGTAATATACAGTAAATGTTCAGTTTATATTACAAAACCATTGAATTATTACGAGCACACAAACTTCTTTATAAAATTTGATGTATATAGTTTACATGTTCAAAATTTGCGATTGTTCGGATTTTCTTCACTAACTATTTTAAATTTGCGATTGTTTAGATTTTTTTACAAAATGTTCAAAAGTATAGGCGTGGTGCATTATGATTGTCAGATTTTTTTTTTTCTAAATGTATCAAAATTTGTGATTTTCAAATTTTTACACTAAATGTTCAAATAAATTTGCAATTGTTATGAATTTTTTTTACTGAAATTTCAAAAGTACAGGAGTGATGCACCTTAAAATTTGCATTCTTATGGTGCACCATCTTTCCCTTCATAATCTCTTTATTCTGAACTAATTAATTCATATATTTTTCGTTCTTTAATCCTCAATTCGGCGTAACTTATTACAAATAACACTTGTCGGTGATTCTCCTTACTCCCTGTAGAAGAATACCCTTAACTAACTTATCAATATATTTAGGTTAGTGATTAGTTAGATAGTTTGACTCAAGGATATTTGCCCAACAACAAAATATTCCTTCCTTATATAAGATCATAATATACTTTGATACATATCTCTGGCGCACTATCATAAGCCATTAATTAGTACAACACTCACATTAGGTTTATCTTATGAACTTATTTCTTGACTATGTAACTTCTCTTCCTTTTCTTGTTGCTCCAAAGTGTCAAAAAGAGGAGTACTTTTAGTTTCTGGAAGCCACAAGCTCACTAATCCACTTAGAATTGATAATCCCCCAATCACCATAAATGAAAACATAGCGCTTAATCGCCCAAGAACCACCAACAAAGGCGCCACCGCACCCCCTAGTACTAACGCTTGACGCATCAGTGAAACAGCAAAGTTCCTCACATTTGTTGGAAATAGCTCAATGCAGTACACAAACATAATATCGAAAGCAACCGAAGCAGCCATGAATCCAATACCTTCAATCCCTAGTTGTATCCAATTCCCTATAGTCCCTCCATTGCCTGTCAAAATTACAAAAACATTTGGTGATTTTGATCATATATCAGTATATGTGTCTCCTATATATATATATATATATATATATATATATATATATATATATATATATATATATATATATATATATATATATATATATATATATATATAGTTACAAGACTACCAGAGATTTGTTATCAAATTAGCACGTATGTCAATAATAATTATTTTCTAGCGTGTTTTATAAAAAAATAATTAGACCAATGAAAAATAAATATCAAATACTACATCCATTTTTTATAATGTATAACAAAGAATATTATATCTAACAAATAATATTCATTTGTAGCACATAATAAGAAACAGAGGTAGTATTACACCTGTATGCACTACTTTTCAGTTTATGGTTTATTCACGTAAATTATTAGCAAGTTAACATGCATATCAGTATAGTTTCATTTTGAAAAATATATTTTTTGTTGTTTAAATATTTAATTTCAGTAGAATCTCTGCTTAAAATGAGGAAAGTAATGAATTAATAAGGGAAATTCTCTGTATTGAGCCATGGGGCATTTTCATAAATAAATCAACAACTCTTTCATTATTGTAGGTTTCATAATTGAATAAAGTTGAATAAAGTTATTGATTTATTTGCGACATGTACAAACTGGGACACCCCCATATAAATAATCAATAAGAAAAATATACGAAGTATATATGTAGCGAATGATATAATAAAATCATACCGTCGGTGAAGATGATGCAAAGTAAGCATGAGCCCCCTGCAACAAAACATGAAACCGAAAGCAGCAGGCGGCGTTTCATAAAAACTAGAAGGAACCCCCCTATAAAGACAGCAGGAATCTCCAATAATGCATTGATGGCAACACTCAGATACTTGGAAAAATTCAAGTTTTCGACGTTCAATTGAACTGCATAATACACAAATCCAACCCCAAAACCTGCTATCATTGCCTTCATCATCCTTATCCTTGCCCATTTACACTCCCACAGGCTCATATTCTTGCTAGGATCATTCTTCGAAAAACACGAGTCTGTTAGTTGAATGTTAGCAGGAAGAATTCTCCCATTTCGAGTAGCTAGCTTGGTTAAAATTGAGTGAGCTTCCGTTTTCCTCCCTCGTATAAGAAGCCAACGAGGAGATTCTAAGACAAAAGGGAGTACAACAATGGAGTAGACAAAGACAACGATCGAAAGAACCCGGTAAAGAGATCTCCAACAAGATTTAGTGTAGAATGCTATAAGAGGAAGGGAGAGGAACCCTAGAGTAAAGAAGAGAAAACCATATTGACCAACTTGACCTCGCCATTTTCGACCAACAACTTCGGTTGCAAGGACTAGACAACAGATTCCGATTCCGGACCGAGTTAAGCCATTGAAGAAACGAAGAACAGCGTAAGTCCATATGTTTGGTGAGAAAGAGGTAAGGAGTGCAGTGATGGCGGTTAGCAAGCATGCTAGTATTAAGGTCTTCTTTCTTCCAAGGAATGAATCAGCTAAACGTCCATATATTGCTGAACCTGCATTAAAACTTATTAAATTTAAAATTACATGGGTATTTAGAAACTAAATTCGAAATTAAATTAACAAAGATTTTACTTTTTACATACATGACTATATTTACAGTAAAAGTATTAGTTTTTATTTGCAATGATGTGTCTAGAGATTCCAAATAAGAAAATCAATAGAATGGAGGAGTATGTGCTTATATAAAAGAACACTTGGAATCTAACATTAAATTACAAAATAATTCATAATTAATTTACTTTATTTAAGTTTTTTGATTTTTTTTTTTTTTTTGGAAAGAAGAAGTCATAATAGCAAAATTCAAGGTAGAGATTTCATTATTTAGAGTTATGTCATCAATCCACAACCAATTAATTTAAAAATTGAACATATTCAATATGAATATATTTTTTTGAAACACCTAAAATATTATATGAGACTAACATTATGAAACGGAGGAAATACTTTTTTTTAAGTGTTATACTTGCTAAATATTATCGTATTTATTTAAGGACCTGCTCACATTTATTGAATTGAGCTGAACTGAAATGAACAGATTGTAGCTGAACTAATTAAACTGAGTTGAACTGAAATGAAATTAAGTAAATGTGAACAGACCCAAAGTGTTACAATTTTTTTTTTTTTTTTGGAAAAAGTTATATTTTAATATTAGATTTTTCTTCTCATGGTCCCTACCCAATAATTCCTATCACAATAATTATTTATAACCTAATACTCCATCCTTCTCAATATATAGTTTTTGTTTGAGTTTTTTCACGGTATTTAAGAAAGGAGAGGAGAACGTGGATGAAATACATTAAAACTTTAAAAGTAAAAAAAAAAAAAAAAAACACTACAAAAGTGTGACAAAAGTACAAGGCAAGGAGATTATTTAAGGGGTTAAAAACTATAGGTAAGTGGATAATTTAAGGGTAAATTAGGTAGTTCAATGAATAAAGTTAAAACAAGAGGGTATAATGGTCTTTCATACTATCCAAAAATAGAAACATGAACAACATTTTGGGTCTCCAAAATTAAAAAACAGAAACTATAATATATGATGGAGGAATAGCAACCTTTGACATCATCTTATCCTAAAATTTGTACAGGTGTCAAACTGTCAACTTTTCCTTCCAAAACTATATATGATGTCATCATGTTATAATTTTTTTATTAAAAATCGTGGTGACTTTATTATTATTAGTACTATATGTTTCAACTGTTCATACATAACTATTCCTACTCATATGCTTTATCAAATAGTGTTATGTAACATTCAATGGTACCGTATATTCATTCAGTGACGTGGTACTAAATACGTGTAGAAAGGGTATTTCTACATAGTCAATGGTATTATATAAGATTTCAGTGGTACTTTAAAACTGGTCCCACGTGCCCATCTCTCTCCTCCTTTCTCTCACCCCCGTGTGCTTTATAATATTTTTCAATATTTTAAAGTTTGATATGTATTTGATCAAACCTACATTAGTACTTCCTCCTCTATTTTATGCCCAATCTATTCTCTCTAACAATAGTAATTTAATTTTATTTTTCCTAAGGTAATTAATTAATTTTTTCTATGTGCGTGCTCTAATTTTTTTTATTTAATTTTTGAAGTATTATTTGTTCTGGGAATTTTTAAATTTATGTTTTCAATTTTGGCATAAATTATAAACATTTTAGAAAATGTTATTAGTTCAAACACGCATCGCACGAGACTAATCTAGTTTTTTTTTTTTTGAAGATCTAATATAGTTTATTATTAACCCCAGTAGTTTTGTTTTAAACAATATTAAATATACCAACTATCCACTCACCTCTTATTCATTTAAATCAATTTTATTACCTATAGTTATGTGACGGTTATAGTGTAACACTGAAAAAAAAACATGGAGAGAGTACAAAATATTATAGTTCTTGTTTTTTTTTTTTTTTTTTTTTTTTTTTTTTTTCTGAAAAGAAAAAAAAATCTACTCCTAGTCTGTCACAAATAATATTTGTCTTTTCAGTAATCATAACAAGAGAATATATATTAAAGAAGTTAAGTTTGGTTGATTTTAGAATTTGTTATATACATTCAGATGAACCATACGCCCGAGGTTATTTGCTCATTTAGTCAACAAAGAGCAAATAAATATTCAAACTCATTTGTTGATTGAATGACTAAATAACCCCTGGTTTAAAAAAAAAAAAAAAAAGCAAATACCCCCAGATGTATACTACACCCTGATGTGCATAATAGATTCTTGGTTGATTTTAGACGAATTAGAAAATATTATAGGGTTTGGTTGTTAAAAAAACATAATAAGAAAATTTAGATAGTATGGATTTGACTAACTAATTATAGTAATGTAATACACCGATTATTTCTTTGCTTATTTTATTAACTTAAAATACCCTTCACTTGCCTCTTCTTTTACTACTAAATTAACATGGCCAAAAAAAAAAACAAAAAAATAATAATAGAAATGGAATATTTGTATATAGCATAAAATCATATATAATATATTATTATACGATTTTATAGGAAGCATAAAATCATATGGCACCTTCCACTAATAGTAATTAAAACAATAATAATAAAAAGTAGCCACTACCCATTAGCTATAATAAAATACTCCCTCCTTTTTTAAACAATCGCTCCTATTTTATTTTTGCACTATTATCTATCCTATTTTGTCTAGTATTTGTGATTTATTCATTTATACATAACAAAAAAATAGTCTTGTGGGGTAATCGTTGAAAGTGGCTCAATGAAAAGATTCTTAATTTTTAATTGTTAGAAAATATACTTATTAATAATTAAAGATATTATTGATCAAATATTAGCATCGGCATACGTATCTAATAGAAATGGAGCGAGTATTTAAAACGGATAGATTATCAATATAATTGAGCCTTTTTTTTTTTTTTTTGGGGACAAGATATATAATACTTCGTATACCATTATAAACACAATAGTATAAGAAATCAACCATTTTGCAAGAAATCTTGTTGAATTTAACACCGTGCAGCTATTTCAAGATGGAGAGAGTATGAGTTAGATTATCTTAAATAAGTGAAGTTTTGGAAGAAAATTTATAAAAGAATAACACGCAAAAGAAGTGTTAAAAAAATAAATTATATGTGGTTGTGACCAATCATCATGGGTGATTACTTTGTTAATGTCATAGACGTTACTTGATCAATATTACATGGGTTACTTTGACAGAGGTATAGGAATTATCCGATCTGTACTAAAGGGTTACTTCATCACTATTATATGGATTATTTAGTTTTTTTAACAAGCAGACACATTGTGTGATCAACCATACACAAGATGGATCGAAAAAATAAAAAGTATGTCCTATAAAAAGCTATGAATAAGAATAATGTAAGCAGTAAAACTCAACAACTAACAAAAAAGATCTATAGTGGATTAGTGGTAGAATATTGTTCAATTCCTAAAGCCACTAAGACAAATGTAGAACTACAATAGTGCCTCCATATATATGTTAAGCACGCCATGAGAATCTATTACCGGTCACCCAAATTCCCAAAACATACTAAAAATGTGCGCTAAAGAATGACAATGACTTTTTTTTTTGGGCAAGGAGGATATAGTTATAAAAGACCCTGATTAGAATTCAATTATAATGCCTTCAAAATTAAAATATGCGTTAAAGAAGGACAATGACTTTTTATCTATGTACTCTTTGAGATTTTGATAGTTAAAGTTTGACCTTATTCACTTCACCTTCGAATAATAGTATTTAGTATAAAAAAATTCAATATAAATAATTTTAGTTCAATAAAAATAATTTCAGCTTCTAAGAAAAAGTTCATGTATGTATAAATAATTTAAATTTTCTAAAATTAAATTCATTTCGATAAAATCAGTAAATGTAAAGAAAAAATATAATAATAATAATAATAATAATAATAAGTTAAAACAATTTCACTTAAACAAAAATAATTTCAACTTAGCAAAAATATTTTCAGTTCATAAAAATCAATTCCGTCCGATAAAAATAATTTAACTTCATCTATTATATATTTAGTTTAATAAAAATAATTTTAACTTAGCTAAAGTAAAATAAAGTGAACAAAGTCTAATAAGAAAGCTATAAAAAAGGATCCTTACCCCCAATTTTTTTTTTTGTTGCAAGGTTTTTGATCTTTTTGACCTTTGGATGACAAGGACATAATTATAACAAACAATAATGCAAAAGGAAGATCAGGTAGATTTATTTAAGAATATATACTATTGATGTGTCAAATTCTTGGCACTATTATTTGCAATAGTAACATCAAGAATCAGCAACCTCTAAATAAGGGAATTTAGTTTTCATGCTTTCTAAGTGAAAATGAACTATCATATTATTCTTTTTTTTTGTTACCATGTAATATGGGAACGCTTCATGTACGTTCTTTATTATGGACTATAAAAAAAACACATGCGTTGACCATCAAATTTGTTAAAATTCAACAAATTCCATATATCTTACTCTCCCACGCACTTACCATGAAATCCATGATATTTCAGTGAAGGAGTAAGGGTCTGTTTTCATATGATTATTTTCATTTTATTTTAGATCAGTTCCTAATTTTCTTCTCTTATAAAATATTCATTTCATTTCAATTTATTTTAGTTCAGTTCTAATAACTTCAGTTCAATTTAGTTCAGTTCAGTCAATGAAAACAAGCCCTAAGGGTTTTGAATATTAGATTTTAATTTCTTACTACTTTAATGAACTTAAATAATGATGCTATGCAAATTAAGCTTTTCGCTCCTAAGTTAAAATTAAAGGACTGAAAACAACCTAATTTTGCAAATTGCAAGTATTTGCTAGGTTAGAATCATCCGGCAATAACTCAAACTTTTATTCAGATTACATACATGCATATATTGATCCGTATTTATAAATTTGATTGGCTACCAAAATTTACTACAGAGTATTACAAGTAATAGATTTGAATCATCCAACTAAAAATCAAAACATACAATAGGTTATTATATAAATATAATCCGGTATTATTTTTCATTGCCTAAGAAATTTGGATATTAATGTAAAACTTGTAGATAGGTTTAAGAAGTAAGGAGTTAAGGGTCTGTCCACTCCAACTTAATTTTAGTTCATTTCAACTCCTAATTTCCTTCTCTCATATATAATATATTCATTTCAGCTTAATTCAGTTCAGTTCAGTTCAGCTCATTTCAGTAAATGTGAACATGCCCTAAGTCAAGAAGGGGTGATTACATGAAGTATAATACGGTTAAATTATGACCGGATTGTATAATACGTTATAAGTTGTGTTTATTTCATTTGGAAACTTCATACCTTTGATTTTACTCATTTTAGTCTGTTGATTTTTGCCACCTTGTAGTTAATATTTACCTTCTTTTAATTTACAAAAAGTTTCATATTTTATATGAACCACATGATAATAATAGATTTTGGCCAAATTTACCTCTTTTCTACCTCCTCTTCCTTCAATTCTTATGTAAAATTAAAATTGAATTAGGACAAAGCATTTTGTATTAGATTTCATCTAATTTAAGTTTTTTTTTTTTAAAAAAAAAAAATTAAGTCACTAAACATGTATTGATTAATTTAATTTATCCTCCGTTTTATTTTTTTTTGAGACAACTTATCCTCCGTTTTTAGTATTTCAAATCTTGAATAGTTTTTAATCTGTAATACATAGCTTGTACAAATAAATAAAGCATAAAAATCTATAAATAAATACTAAACTAAGAAAGAGGAACGACTAAAAGTGGGATATGCTTCATTCAAGTGTCCTAATAAGAATAATTACTTCAACTAACAAGCAAGAGGAACAACTAAAAGTGGAATATGATTCAAGTGCCTCTTTACATACCAACAAACAGGAACTAACTAGCATTATTTTACTAAAAAATAAATTAAAGAGTCCTAATTGACTTGCACTAACTCATATTACACCAAAAATATAGTACGTACTCTAACTTGTATGAAGCACTAATATTCCAACACCCTCTAATTTCATGGGCATTATGCAATTTGGTCTTTGGATGAAAGGGGTGCGGTGGTTAGGAATGTTACTTTATCTTTTTTAAGTGGCATCAATTCTAATCTAAGACGTAATATATTAGTGATACGTTAGGAGAATAGAACCCTCCATCACAAAGAAACTTGTGGTTAATTGTATAAAGAGAATAAGCATTGGGTGACTTTATCCCATGACATGACAAAGCGTAGACATATATTTCATGTATTGAACGTAAAATCTTTATCCTACGACTAGGATACTTTATAATAAATTTTTTTTAAAAAAAACATCAAATATAATGATATTGAGGGGCCGTTTAGTTCGGAGAGTGGTGTGAGTTTGAAATTAGGAATAAATAGATTAGATTGAGTAAATAATATAGGGCTAAAAGTCTTATTGCTATTTAATGCCATATACTTTCTCCGTTCTTTTTTTATCGCATCACTTACTACTTTAGGAAGTTTACTTATTATTGCATCATTTCCTTATTAGGATAAAAAATATCTATGTTCACACTGTAAATACCCAACATACCCTTCCTTTTTCACACTTACTTTTTATTTTATCTTACATTACATGGACAATTTTGTATTTTTACGTTTCTCTCTCTCACTTTTTCCCACTACCAAATTTTGCCTCCAAAACCCCTATGATGCAATAAAAAAAAATGGAGGAAGTATTTGGTTTTAGATGATAATGAACATTTTCTTTTATGAGTAGAGATTTTTAAATATATACACCCACGAGTGAAGCACATTCAAGCGTTTTTTTTTTTTGCTCATATTATTGATTATCACTCATTTAATCATCGATTTATCAAATGATACAAAAATAATCTTTAATGCACCTTACACTAGAATGTGTATAACAATTTAATCTTTTATTTGGGTATGAAAGGACTCATATGAGTCATACCCGGTCACCCGTCCACCTCCCCCCTTAGATTAATAAACTTCATTTGTCAACACAAGGTATAATTTTACCCATTCCAAACTTATCTTGTACACAATAATGAACTAAACTCTCCTTACTCTAAATTATACATGAATATCAGATTAATATTTTACTAGTGAAAACATGATCACTTTTACGTACACATCCTATATTGTTTTATAGCGTATTAATAACAAGAAAATATATACACACTTTTTAAACAAGATTTCCTCCTACAATTAAAGAGATATAAAGGTTAAAAAATAGTTACCTATGAGAGAGCCAAGGAAGAAGCAAGAAGCAGGAAGAGAAGCAAGAAACTTATGGTTGCAAACAAGTCCCCATTCAGCTAATATTGTACTATGTTTTCCACCTTCCCATACCCAACTATCTTGTTCAAGCCCACATACTGATATTCCCTTACCACTTTGCAACCCATTACACGTATGATTTGGCTTGCATCTCCATCTTTCGGGTTCGGCGTCACTGAAGATGGTGACCAGAGTACTCTGAGCATCAAACATCCATGCCAATGACACCAAAAAAGCTTGGATTATTTGCAAGTATCCGAATGAACCCACATAATTTTCAATCACTTCTTCTACTGTAAGCTCTGTAATTGTGTTTGTTACATTATTGTTTGTTGTAATTTCGTCAGTTACAGAAGGTTCTACATTCAGGGAGAGAACAGGAGTGTTTTCTTCTGCCATATATATGGTTGTTTTGCGTAGTGTTTTGTTGTGTGTGACTTGAGTTTGTTTTGTTAAATATTGGTGGTAGCATAATTTATTTATAGTACTGCAAGTCTACAATGCACAGAATATGATTCGCATGACCAACTTTTGAGGCTTACTTTTTCCATTATGTAGCATTTTATATACTTCCTCCGTTTCAAAAAGTTCGACTCACTTCGCATTTGTACTAAACATGTTTGACCATTAATAACTTCGGCAATATACAAGTAAAATTTGAAAAAAAAAATTGATAATTGAAAATTTTATCATATGGGGAATAACAAGATCAAACTAGCTATAATATTTTGATTATACAAATTATAAAATGTGGTGAGGTAATATTTAAAAAGTTGATGAATCATCCTCCGTTTTTTTTTAGTTGACAAGTTTCTTATATCACGTTACAACGCACATTTTTATTAACTCTAATTATCAACATGTAAAAATTTGTAAGAAAAAATTTAGATATTAATAAGATTTACGTTCAGACAATTCAAATAAGATTATCTTCAGAATGTTGCTTAGCTTACTGGTGAATAGTTACTATCTCCATCCAAAACGGCAAATCTGGTCTCAACGACTTGATATTATTTTGCTTTTTTGTGAATATTTTTATTCGGGTGAGGAATCAACAAAAAATTTGCTTGGTTTCACTACTCCTTAGCTATTTTGATGAATCTACTAAAGTACTAAGTACCTTTACAAAGTTTAGTGGTTTATTGGTTTAATTTTAATTAAGTTGGTGTCTACATTTTATACTGTTAGGATTTTTAAAAACTATAATTAGTATGTACTTCTTCAATATTTTATTTCTTGTTCCATTTTTGTTGTATTAAATACAACTAGAATATGTTCAGTTAGTTAAAATTATATAACTTTTAATCATTGTTAATTAGTATGTCAAGTCACATGTGTGTGTGGTCACATTGGTCATAAGTGTCATATTTATTTATGTTGAAATTTAAGAGTTTTGATGATGATGAACACAAAGAGCAAACTTCTATTAATGAGATTTCTCTTAGTATTATAAGTTGAACAGGTGAACTAGACTTTTGAAGTGGAAGAGTAGCTTGCCTATGAAGACTCAAGGAGACGCTAAGGAGATTTGAGTTAAAGAAATAGAAGATGAATTCTCCAACATGAACATGAAGATACCAAGTTTCACAGGAACTTGGCCTGCGAAAATTCCAGCAAGGTGCTAGAGAAGTGAAGACAGGAACTTAATCTTGGATTGTGTGAAGCCCAAGTACCCTAACCTAGAACAATTGATGAAACAATCTAGGTTATGTTAAGTTTATATTTTTAAGGATTGTTGTAAATATCTTAGGTTAGTTTATGCATGGTATTTATTAGAAGCGTGACAAAGCTTGGCAATTAAGCTTATAAAAGGAAAGTTTATAAAAGATAAGTTTTAATTTATGAAAAGATTTTCTAAACGATATTATCTTATAAAATCTGAATCTAAGAAGATATTATTCTTTTCATAAATTATCTTTAATAAGTTTTCTAAAAAGATTTTCTTTTCAAAAAATTTACACGAAACCGTTTTTTATGAATTATGGCAGTTTTATAATTCTATCTTTTGGAAACCCTACTTTACTTATGAGTACATCTTTTATGTAAAGTAGTATTCACATTTTACACAAAAGAGTATGAGCTTATGCATGAAGAATCTAAAGAGAGCTCAATTGTGTAAGTTTGCCAAGTCTAGATTTGTCATATTAGTTGAGCTCAATTGTGTAAGTTTGCCAAGTCTAGATTTGTCATATTAGTTTCGGATTCCATGTGTAGCTTTCCTTTCACATATTAGAAGTCAAGTGTTTGTATTGTTTCGGTTTGGGTGAGTGAATTGTTTATTGTATACAATTTTGTAGGCTTCTATAGTGAAGCTGAGTGATTAAGTACTCAGGGAATACAAAGAGGATATAAGTGATCAAGGACTTAGATTGGGTAGAATAGGATTCTACTTTAATTTGTAGCAAGTTTAATGTGGAACTTGTGAGTTTAGGTCTGATTATAATAGGTTGCAACTGGTGTGTTTGCCCTATTATAGTGAAATTTTTTGGTGTTTGAAATCCCCTAGAGGGTTGAGGTTTTACTTCCACTTGGAATTTGGAAGGTTTCCTCGTAATATACCGTGTGTTTTACATGTTCATTTTATATTCTGTTTTAATTTTCCGCAAAAGTAGTCACTAGAAACTCACCTACAACCCCCCCCCCCCTCTTGTAGTGTGCGTCTCATCTAACAATTTATTTGTATGATCATAAGAGTAACCTTGTTTTGTCCATAAAAAATAACTAAAATTCCTTATACAAGTAATATCAAGAAATTAAAAAGTAAACTAATTTCTTTTTTAATTCTATTAACTCCTATTCTTTTGTTTTATATATATTTCATATACAAAGTATTATCAAAGATGCAAACTAGTACGTTGTTATAATATTGATAACATTAAAAACTAGCATACTTGTGTATAGTCTAAAACTCATTTAGGTTTATCTCATGAACTTGCTATTTCATCTTCTTGTTGCTCCAAAGTGTCAAAATGAAGAGTATTCTTAGTTTCTGGAAGCCACAAGCTCACTAACCCACTTAGCATATATAATCCCCCAATGGCCCAATCTCTATAAATGAAAATGTAGCACTTAATTGCCCAAGAACCAACATTAAAAATGCCACCGTACCCCCTAGAACTAACGATTGAAGCATCAATGAAACAGCAAAGTTCCTCTTATTTGTCGGAAATAACCATACCCTGTGCAAATTAATTCCACTTTAAAGGAGGGTGAATGAGATTCGAACCTAGGACCTCTATGTCACGTTGACACTGATACCATATTAAAGGACCAACTTAACCTAATGGTTAAAGTCCAAGAATATGTTATATAATCTATCACTATTAGCATGCTAGCAAGTAACAAGTTCTTCTTTTTTTTTTTCTTAGAAATGAGTCAGCTAAATGTCCATATATTGTTGATCCTACATTAGAAATTAACAACCACAAGATTAAGATTGTAAATAACAAAATCATGGTTATTTATTTTATCCATGTCATGTAGGCATATTATGCCTTTCCAATAATGCATAAATTAAATTTGATTACATGGATACGTCTTGTAAAATAGTGATTCCAATCACCATCTTAGGGCTACATAAATTAAAATTAAAGAGACAGGATAAATATATTAGGTTACATGGAATATAATCTGATCTTTGTATATTCATAATTTAATATCAACTTAAAATAAAAAAATAAAAAAATAAAAAAAAAATCTTTATGCATGCATACATCATTAATCTCTATGTTCCTTTTCGTATGTTATGGTTTTACTTCTATGCTCAACTTATAAACTTTTAAAGATAAATATTAATTACCCTGTAATAAACATCAAATTATATCATATGTGGTCATTTTGAAATGTATTTTTAGATCATCAAATTTGCTATAATAATATTTTATTGATATATAATTGTGGATATTTAAAATATACCGTTAGTGATAGTCTAAACATAAAAGAATATATTTTTTTGTCCTTTTGTAAATAATGATTTGTATCTCTTCATCCCCTATATATATATAAAAAAACATATATTCCATTAAACATATTTTCCATTGTATAATTTTTCTAGAAAATTACTCCCTCCGTTGTGGTCTAAGAAAAAGTTTAATAAATAGAAATAAACAAAAGGTTAACTAACCAAAAGCTATGAACAAAGATATTAAAAAAAAATGTAGTACGACTTAAAAAAAGGAACAAAAATGGTATAAATAAATTGCCCTATTGTTTAATCTAAAACCACTAAGCCAAATATAAAAATACATACAAAAGTATCCGAATTTCAAAAGTATGCAATGAGAAAAAAGGAAGATAGATTTGTTAATTGTTATGATGCTTTCTCAATGATAATGAGTCATCATATTATTCTACTTTTCATTCTGTTACCATGTATTGTGGGAACACTTCATGTACGTTCTTTTTCTTAGGGACTATGTATATATACAACATGCGTTGTCTATTTAATTTTGTCACCTATATCAATGCAAATTATGTTCTTAGATATTTGTAGTGAGAAGGACTAGAAACAACCTAGTACGTGAATATTATATCTGGTTTTTTTAATTTTTTAATTTTTTAATTTTTTTTTTTGGCAAGAAACAAAACATAGATTAGAATAAATAAGAGTAGCTGGATAACACTATAATTACAAAATGCACCTTAACAGTTCAAGGTGGCTGATGAGTTAATGCGCATCCAACCCCTACTACCATCTGATCAGTTAGACTTGTGGTAATTTGGTTATTAGTAACGTACCAAAAGAGAAGTTTAAACCATTACAGACGAAAGTTTGCGCCACACTTGGCTGCTGAATAGTTACAAAAGTTTGCAGAATAGATACATCATTAGTTAGCTGGCTAGAAGAAAGAGGTAGACCCAACATAGCTTGTCTGCCCGCCACATTCGCTTCCCATACACTTGTCCTTGGTGCTTTTGACAGTTTTCCTGCTGCTACGGTTGAGATCAGGCCAGTGTATAAAGAATAATAGTTCTCCATTTCATCAAAGCCAGTCCTACATTTAGGGTTTGTTCTTAAACGATTATTTTCAACTCAGTTCAGTTCAGTTTAGTGCAGCTCTAATATGTTCAGTTTAGTTCAACTCTAATAAGTTCAATTCAATTCAACTCCTAATTTCCTTCTCTTATAAAATATTCATTTCAGTATAGTTCAGTTCAGAATAAGTCCAGTTCAGTTGAGTTCAGTTCAGCTCTAATAAGTTCAGTTCGGTAAATGAGAACAGACCCTTATTAACTATTAAGACTGCCCTCAATCAGCCCGAAAGGATATGAACATCCTCCAATTTCTCCCAAATAGCCCAAGAAACAACTGCTATGATGGCTAAAGTTTCAGCTATAAGAGCAGAAGTAGCACTAATATGGGTAGCAATACCTTTGATCCATTCTCCTTTTTTACTCTAGCAGATAAAGGCAATCCCAGCCCTCAATGTGTGAGGTTTGAAAGAGGCATCCACGACAATGTTGAAATTATGGT